TTGTCTTATAATATGATAATTTGTGTTGCTTTAATTCCTAAATGTGGTTCTATCTGGGAATAATCATAGTATTGTGTTAAATAGCTTCAATAAGTTTACCAGGATATAATTCCCATTTTTTCTACTCTAATTGAAGTTCAGCTAGAATTAATTGTAGATTAAATTATTACTGTACACTATTAAATTAGTTTTAAAATAAAGCCTTTTATAAAAATTCATTTTGTGTTTCATAAGCATTGAATTTTTTTGAGTAGGTATTATCTTTGTAATAATATTATTCTATAATTTATTTATTTTTACAGTTTCTATATGYTCTTGTTATTGCATCACATGGTGGTAGTTATAAATTTATGGCATACATGTCAGTTGCTAAATTTACTGAAAATGGTCAGTTACTAGATGCCGGCACAGATCTTAACATGGAAGGAGGTTTAGCCGAGTAATTATATAATATTATTGTTATGAAAAAATTTTTTGTATATTTACTATTTGAATATATATTATTTAATATTCATAATAATATGGTTTTTTATTTTAGGTATACAAAAGATTTGATTATATTGACATCAGGTTGTCAATTATTATCACTTATTTCTAATTACTTTTGGCTTCTATGGCTCCTAGTAAGTTTAAAAAAATAATTTTGAATGATTGTGTATATATTATTTCATGAATTATATTTTAAACTTTTAGGCACCGGGTCAAGCATTTTGGATATTATGGAAAAACTTTTTAGGACCCTATTTTATGCAAAAAGCGCCAGAAGATAATAATTCCCCAGAAATAAACGAAAAAAAACAAAAGAAACTAGAAAGGAGAAAAAAAAGACAGCAAAATGTACGATTTTAATAATTTTAGTTAATAAATTGAGCTTAATTATTTTTTAAATTAAATTTTATTTTTGTTATAACTGAAATTGTTTTTTTTTTTTATATGACAATATAACATTTTGTAATTATACCTATAAAATATAATTTAATTTGTGTATTCTTTAATAATATGTTCATATTTGTAATTATTAACATGTGTAGTCAATTAATATGCTTTTGAAGAATTCGCAA